CTTCCGAGTTGCATTAGCTGCATTTTGGGATGGGTGCAAATGCACATTGTAGCATGTGCCGGGGCGTCCTGGGAGCCGGGAATGATTGGCATTCTCGGGGCACCCCCCCCCTCCAGTGCCTCCCAAAGCAGGAGAGCCTGAGTCAGCAGCTCAGGTGAGCGCTGTGGGAAATGTCTCCTCCCCCCCACTCTCTCCGTGAGAGCCACTCAGCAAAGTCACCTCCCCGCGGCTGTCTTTCCATCCCTCGAAAGGTCTCTCCCGAGACTGTGTTCCCAAGATGTTCACCCACAGGGCGGTCTGGGACAGATCTGCGCCTCCGTGACCTCTCTCTTCCGTTTGCCTCGGGGATGGTCAGACTTAAAAGTCAACCATTGGGCTCTTTGGCCACTAAAAATGCTTGCATGGGCACGTCTGTCCATATTTGAACCCGAGTGATCATCAGAGTCACCTGGGAAAGTTTTTAAAAGTGTGAGACGTGGGGTCCATGCTGGAGTTCCTAAACCAAGGCCTGCACGGTAGACCCTGGGGATGTGTCTCAGATCCCCGCAGGGTGCCTCCTCCTGGCCGGGCTGGGACACCCCACCGGGCGCAGTACTGGCCCTGCAGGCAGCACCAGCTCAGAGGGCCAGAAATTCATGCTTCAGAAGGAAAGGCCTCCACAAAGCTAAAGGGGGATCTTCAGCCCAGGGCTCTGGAGCCTCAGGTCCTGCTCCGAGGCCTGGGATGCTCCTGGGATGAGAGGCAACTGGTCTCACACCTGCGACACAGAAACCCTTTCTCAGGGGCACACATGGGGCGATGGCTGGGCAGGGCCCCGGAGAGATGCCTGCAGGACTCCGGGGGCGGGCTCCCCTCCGCCCTCCGTCCTCAGTGCAGGTATCCGGTGCCTACGGCCTGTGCTGCTGGGAGCTTAACTCAGCCGAAATCCACCTCCCCGGGAGCTACCCCAGCACCCTTCTGGCCGACCTCAGGCCAGACACTTGCCCTCGCTGTGACTGTCCTTCCCTGGAAAGCAAGTCCTATGCCCGCGGCCCCAGAGTCGAGCACCTAACAGCCGCAGCGGAAGGACTCTAACCTGCGAGTAACCAGCCGGGCTCTTAGGTTTGGTCCCCGAGGAAGGTGAGACGGTTTGTTTTACCCGATACAGGCTCGAACCAGCGACAAATGTGCAGGAACGGCACAGTGAGCTGAGCGGGACAGTCCAAAACGATGACTTAAGTCAGCCCGGAGGCAGGCGACCAGTGACCACACCTAATTACTCACTGACCGCTGGGGCCTGACCCGAGAATTCCTCCTCGATGAGTCACCCACCCCCCTGGTCCTGTCTCCTTCCCCGAGTACTTGACAGATGGCTGCCTGGGGAGCTGGGCCCCTCCTGTTTGTGCCCTTGTTTTCTGTCACTAACCTACAGGACGTTAACCCCGAGTGTGAAGGAAAGGTATTTGGGGGGTCACAGGATTCTACGTGGGCAGCGCTGGAAACAACGTGGACTTTTACCAGCGCCCGTGACAAGCATTGGGATTTACTAAAAAGAAAAAAAAAGCACCAGGTGCCAAGTAGTGGGAGTGACGGGGTGTCGAGAGCGTCCTTATGAGAGCGGGAGACTTGGTCAAGTTCACGGAAAGCGCTGGGAGTCCAGCCAGGAGCCAGGAGCCCGCCAGTGGTTAAGGAGAGGAAGCCCGCCCGCTGGGGCCTCGGTACCTGGGGCTGAAAAGCCATCGGGGACAGTGAGGGCCCAGGGATGGGCACCAGGGAGGGAGCAGCCACCTCCAGGGCCTGCGGAGCTCGTGGGTGACCGGAGCCGAGGCCACGGCTACCTGGAAGGAGGGCTCTACGGCCAGGCACCACCTGCGGGAAGGAGGACCTTAGACCCCACAGCCCACCCCTCCTTCCGTCAGGGAAGCACTCTCCCTCTCAGGACGGAAGACCAAGCGTGACCTGTGGGGAAAATGAACCAGAGGGACACGGCGCTGGGCTCCCTCTGCCACCCCCGGCGGAGTCCGGGCTGAGCTTGCGCGTAGTGGACGATTAAAGACTCCTGCGTGTGGAGAGCGCGATGGGAACGTCGGGCCCTGGCTGGCGGGGGAGGCCGCGCGCGGGAGCCCAGCGTTTCAAATGCGGCCTCTCCCCTAACGGAGCGGAAAGAGCCGTCCAGCCGGCGCTGTGAGCCGAACACCGAGAACCGCAGCGGAGAAATGTTGGCTGTTTTGTCGTGAACAGTGCCACCGGGAGAGCGGGAAGCTGACGCCCCAAAGCCCGAGCTCCCGATGGCAAGGAGGGGACAGATTCTCTAGGGCACAATCACAAGACACAGGGGTTAGGGGTCAGGGTTGTGCTGGGAGCTGATTGTTGAAGGTGAGGTAGGGAGACGAGTCATTTCTTCAGGTCTGAGGACAGCTCTGGGGTCTCCACCCAAATGGTGTCCCCTGGGCCTGCCCCTGGAGCCCTGCCGGTCCTCAGGCCAGGGTGGAAGGGCCCTGTCTCCGCCAGCCTCCCCGATCCTTCCTCTGAAGGCTCACCCCTGCCAGTCTGCTCTGGGCGCCAGGGTGCCTCGCTCCACGCTGGCCCAGAGCCATTCCTCTACGTCTCGCTGTCCATCGCCCCTCTAGGCTGGGAGCCACCTCTGATGTTTAGAGAGACAAGCTCGGTGCCTGGCACACAGTGGGCGCCCAGCGCAGCTTGTCCGACCGTGATTGAAAGAACAAAGGCCTGGATGGGTGAATGAATTAACAGGACCGTGTGCTGGGGGCGGGGGGCAGGGGAATGCGGAGAAGGACATTTACGGGCTGCACAGCTGAGCAACTGATGATTTTTTCATTGACACTCAGGCCCCACACGAAATTCAAACTCTCTTCGCTGCCCACACAGAACACAGTCTGCGCTTGTCACTCGACCCGAGACAGGCCACGGTGGGGGGACCGTGAGCGTGTCCCTCCTCGGGACCGCGGCCCTGCAGAGGGGATGGGAAGCTCAGCCTCAAACCCTTGGTGGGAAAGGCTAAGAGGAAGCCATCCATCGGGCGCGGGGAGCCCCGGGCCCCCCCCACAGGCCCGGGCCGCCCTCACCAGTGTGTGCGGCTCCCCCGTGACACGTTGCCCTGCCAACACGCATTCTGAGTCACCCAAGCAGACGTAATGCCATCGCCACCGTGACTCGATCCGGTTGAAAGGGAAGATTCCGACCTACCTAGGAAATGATTTTAATCAGTTTAGTTCCAGAAATAACTATGGAAATTCAGATTTTCCCATTCGGCTGCTTTCGGGTATTACATTGTGACCAGTGACTGAGGAAGCCACCGCTCCCCACCCCCAGCCCTTCCTCGGGGAGAAATGACGTGATTGGCAGCCATTCTGAGTCCCACATGGAAAGCTCTAGGGACATAAGCATATGAAAAGCCAACAAAAACGAAGCTTTTGAAAATAGAAAAACACACCAAAATTACCGTCACTCTCCCTCACGGAGCAGACAGCCGGTGCCTCTCGCATTAGGACGAGTCCTCCCCTCGCGGCCAAGTGTCTCAGTCCCCGGGAAGCAGACCTGGGGCGTCCAGATGGTGACCCCCAGAGAGGCCCCGGAGAACGTAGCCCTGGAGCATGCGGAGTGGCGGTGCTGGCGCTCGGTCATCCCCAGCGGCCGGGCGGGCGGCTAAGGACACGAAACACGCCGGGGCCTGGGAAATTCTCGGGGCCCCTGTGTGGCCGGCCCGGGTTTCTAAGGCCTCGCTCGTCCCTTTATTCGTCCATTCAACAGTATTTATTGGCGTACACGCGCCCCTTGACCCCTGCAGTCGCCTTTCACGGAGGTGGGGAGGTCGCAGGGAGGGGGAGCACGCTGAAGTCCACGGTGAGATGCAGCCAGCGTCGCCGAGCTGCTGAGCGGCGGGCTTGGATGTCACCTACCTTCTGTCGCAGCCCCGCCGCGAACCACGCCCTTCCTGGGGCCTTTTAAAGTGAATATTGTAAATATTAAATTGAAAGTTGACCCAGACACTGGCTAGGGCCGTCCTAGGCGTGACCATAGGCATCGTGGCCGGGGCATGTAATAGTCACCACGAAGCGCGTTTGTGCAGAAGTGGCACTGGGTAAGGAGACCGGCAGAACTGTACGGAGCTCGGGCCACCGCCAGCCGCCCAGAAGGACAAAGTAAAACAGCCCCGCATTTCCTCTCAGGCCTGACGGAACCAGCACCGCTCCTGTCAGATGCCGCTGGTGTGAAGACCTGGGACCCTAGCAGCCCCCGTGTACACGCGCCATCCAGGATGGGGACTAGCTCTCCCCGGGGGCCCAGGACAGGGGGAAGGGTGCGGAGTGTTTCAGAAAACCGGGTAGAGCTTTTCAAGCCCTCAGCCATCGCCCAGGAGGACTGAAGCCTCAGGCCTGTCTCCACCCAGAGACATTGCCGGTCCCTCCAGGAGGGAGCTGCGGGGACCCTCCTGCACCAGCAGCCGCGCACTCATCCCATTCGGGGCACGCTCACAGCTCCCGGTCCCGGTCCCCCTCTGTGTCGGCAGAGAGCTCTCTGTGCAAACGGGTCCCGTCAGCCCTGGAGGTGGCGAGGGCAGCGACAGGGAGCCAGGCCTCCCGAGCCCCCGCCCTGACGAGCCTGCTGGCCGACGCCTCTGCGGCCCGGGTCCAGCTGGGGAAGGCTCAGCCGAATCGGCATCCTGAGCGCGCTCTTTCTAACTGGGAAAGTAGGTGGATTTGGTCACTCACTTAGCACATGGCCTCAGGAACAGGGTCGTTGATGGGCTATCTTTAAATAAAGAGATTTTCCTGAAGAGAGAAAGGGGAATGAAGTTTAAACCACAGAAGGTTCAGGAAGCGGCGATGTGTGGCCCTGGGGACACCAGAGTCCTGGGCCCTGGGTGTTGCCTCGATGGTAGTGGTCTTTCTTTACATGTTCACTGTATGTTGACCTGCATGTGCTGTGTATTTGTATGTTTTTATCATATGTGCCTCCTACATGCCAAACATGCTTTTGAAACTGAGACTCAAAAGCCATTTTAGGAAAAAAAAAATCTTTATTTTTAAGAAAATAACTTACAGGTTGAGCGAACTCTGGCCTACGGCTCTCTGTTCTATGCACAGCGTCGCAGGCCGGAACAATTTGCCTTTTTTTGTTGTTTTTTTTCTGTTTTCAGTATAAGTTTACAGATATTATTCACGTCAGAAACTGCGTCACAGGGCAGTCCTCGTCGCACACCCCACGCCAGGACAAAGCGCCCCACGTAGAAGGCTGTTGTGAATAGAACATTTCCGCCGAGGCCGGCATAGATTTATAGATTTATATATAATTTCACAACAGCCAACAGTCATTGTCATCCTTAGTCAAAACCGAAGTCACACTCACTTTCAAACTACAACACGGAGTACATGTCAGCGTTACACTTCCCATACATTTAAAATATACTTAGACTTTCAAATACATTTATAAGGTACAGCGAGAGCGAGAAAATAAAGTCTCGGCATTTAAATACAAACCACCATAGAAAACCTTCAGGAAACAGAAAGTCCTATAGTACAAAAGTGCAGCAAGCCCCGCCCTCCGGCCGCAGGCCCGGGTGAGCCGCACCCGTGGGCGGCCCGGCCAGCCTGACGCACCGCCGGGGTCCCAGCCACCCTGGCACGGGAGACGCAGGGAGGCGCACAGGGACTCGCCTCCCCGCACGCTGCCTGGGTCTCGAGCCCCGAGGTGGCCGGGAGCCCCGCGGACAGCTACACACGCGTCCGTCCCGTCCGGAGACTCGCATCACTTGGTGTTTTGCTCCAACGCGGAGTACTCCGTCTCCGACACCCTGGAGGCGTCGATGAGCTTGGTGAGGCCCGTCTTGGCCGAGTACTTGAAGATGAAGGCCTTCATCAGCTCGTACCTGTAGTTGCGGTTGATGAAGCTGTAGAGCACGGGGTTGACGCAGCAGTGCACCAGCGACAGGCACTGCGTTACGTGCAGGGCGGTGAACAGGAGGCTCTCCAGCTGGCAGGAGTAGGGGAGGACGTGCAGCATGGAGCACACGTCCAGCAGCACCGCCACGTGGTAGGGCAGCCAGCACACCAGGAAGACCACCACGTAGGAGAAGATGATCCTCCGGCTGCTGTGCTTCTCCTGGTCGCCGGCCGCCGCGATGGCGCGGGCCAGCAGGAAGTAGAAGACCGCGATGACACAGAGAGGGATGACAAAGCCCAAGGCCACGGACAGCAGCTCCGTGCTGACCAGCCACTCCTTGACGCTGTGCTCCGGGTAGAAGGCCCGGCAGTAGGTCTCGTTGGAGGCAGACGTGACGGTCTTCAGGTAGTAGGTGTCGGGCAGGGACACGCAGAAGGCCAGCAGCCACACCAGGACGCAGACGACACGGCGAGCCACCTTCTTCCTGTGGCTCGAGGTGTTGGCAAAGTGGGCGACGGACAGGTAACGGTCCACGCTCATGCAGGTGAGGAAGAAGATGCTGCCGAACAGGTTGATGGAGAAGATGAGGTGGGTGACCTTGCACGTGAGCTCGCCCATGGGCCACTGGTTATGCTGCACAAGGCTGACCACCCAGACCGGGATGGTGACCACCACCCACAGGTCGGCGATGGCCAGGTTTAAGATGTAGCAGTGGGTGTCGTAGCCGGTGGTCTTGGCCTGGATGTTCACCCAGACCACCACGGAGTTGGCGATCATGCCGATGACGAAGATGAAGATGTAGGCGAAGGACAGCGTGTAGAGCAGGACGCTCTTGTTGGCCATGTTGGGGCAGGTCACCGTGTCCACCACGATGCAGTCGCTGCTGTTGCAGGGCCAGCCGATGTCGGAGAAGTTCCCGGGTTCCGAGTAGTCAAAGAGATGCAGCTCCATGGCGGTGAGGGCAGCGACCAGGTGGCCTGCGTGAGAAATCGAACTGGAAAGACGGAAGAGGAAAACCGCGTCATTAGGAAACACTCGCGTTTAGGTCACAACGCTCTTTCAGCGCCTCGTAGGCTTCGGCTCTGCAGAAGTTTTGCAAAGAGAACAACCATTACAGGACGCTGAGAAACAAAATCAAACAGCCCGGCCGGCGTGGCTCAGGGGCTGAGCATCCACCTATGAACCAGGAGGTCACAGTTCGATTCCCGGTCAGGGCACATGCCCGGGTTGCGGGCTCGATCCCCAGTCGGAGGCATGCAGGAGGCAGCCGATCAATGATTCTCTCTCATCATTAATGCTTCCATCTCTCTCCCCCCTTCCTCTTTCTGAAATCAATAAAAACATATTAAAAAAAAAAATCAGACACGCCCAGAATCTAAATCCACGTGGTGCTCAAAGAGACAGTGTTTGCTTTCTCTCTTTTCATGGCTGTTTGCAAGAAGTCGCCAGCCCGGCTGTGCCCAGGGTGTGAAAGCGACACAGTCCAGGGGCCAGAGAAATGCCAGGCAGCTGACATGGATGGCCGGCTAGCGCTCAGCGAGGGGACAGTGGAGACATTTTATCTACAACCCCCAAAATGGCAGAATTAATCTGTTCTTTACCCATGTCCTGCTCTGGGGTCTTAGTGAGACTGATTCAGACTCTCTTCTGAATTTGCATTAAAAACGGGACTACTTCTTTCAACCTCTCTGCAAAATCAGCACGTAATCCGGGTCTTGGGCCACCCTCCGGCTGCAGACATGCAGACCACCGGGGACGTGGTCAGCATGCGGAGCACCCTGCAGCTGACCGCGCTCCAAGCCCGCGGGCTCCGAGGCTGCCCTGTGACTCCCACCCGAGGGCAACCGAGCAGCTGCCTCGAGCTCTGGGCCAGCGCCTGGCTTTCCACCCTTTATCTGTGCAACTGCTCCAAGGGCTCTGTGTGCCAAGACCCAAAGCACAAAAGTCACCACCTGCTGCCGTCCTGGAGGAGCCGACACGTTTCCCAACTGTCTCCCCTGCTGACCTGACGTGAGGCCGATGCTCCGAATTGTCACCACTCAGCACTCATGGAGAACCCAGTCCAGAGGTACCACTTGGCCTGGCAAGGATTTCTCCATGAATCACCAGCTACGGGAGGTGCCAGGAGCTGTCTTCCACCACTGCCCCCCTTGCCCCCAGGGCCCTGAAATCCTTCCTTGGCACGCATGGCTCTGGGTGGGCATGACTACAGGGGGAGATGTAAAATTAAGATAATCACAGGCCCTGGTGAGGACTGGGCGCTCACCCTTCCTTCTCATCTGTCCCAGGTAATGACTGACCAAGCCAAGTTTATTTGCGCAGTTAAAGCGGACTCCAGGTCACACATGAGAACTCCCCGGAGGAGGGAGGTCGATGGTCCACCCGCGGTGCGCAGGTGACCACGCTGATGGTATGAGAGGCAGCTGGGAAAAGCTCCCCGAGAGCGGACCCTCCCGGGCCGGGATTCCGGCTCCTCACTCGTTAGTGTTTACTTGAGCCTAGTTAACCCGTCTGCCCGCAGCTTCTCAGGACACCAGCGCCTAAGAACCGAAGGCCCTAATACAGAACCTAACACATAGCAAATGCTCAATAAAACTTTCCCTGCCCTCCTGCTCCCTTTAGGGGAAAGTGTGCCCTCATTTAATTCTTTCTTCAATTTAATTTTTTAAATTTTATTTTATTGTTGACAGTATTAGAGATTTCTCCCATTTCCTCCCCTTCCTCGCTTAATTCATGCTGCAAATCTGAAGCTGACACTTCTGGGCAGTGTCCCTGCCTTGGAAGTCATGCAGGACACAAAGACGGGCAGTCGGTTCTCCTTCAGGATAAAGAGCAGAGTCCCCAAGAAATGAGACACTTCGCTGCCTCCCAGGACCCGCTGGCTCCTCAGCCTCAAAACTCACGGCAGGCAACCTACCCTGGAACCCTGATCACCAGAGGCTGCCTGCAGGCTTCCGGAAGTTCTCCTCTGTTGGGTTGTAAGTGGCCATTGGTTCCCCTCCTGGTGACCTACCCAGGCCTCAGTGTCCCCACTGCTGATGGAGAGGGCGGAGGAGCTGGGTTAGAGGACAAGTCACAGCCTGGCAAGCCAGAGAGGTGGGCCGGGCCCAGGGACAGGAAAGCCACTGGGCTGGTGCCGGGCTGGGCTCCTTCTCCGCCTGCACTGGGACAGCCCAAGAGGCCATGGCCACAGCCATAAACCCTGGGGTTTGGGCCGATCACAGGGACCAGAAAGAAAGGAACACAGAGCTGAGCGTGTCCCATGCCCACATGACCTCCTCTGCAGCAGCCGGTGTGGATGGTCAGCTTTCCTGGGAGGCAGCGGCCATTCTTGGAGCTGAAGCTTAGGAGCAACTTTGTGGTGTCAATCAAAGCTGCCCACTGCCTGCTACCCTGTGGCTCGGAGCCCACACCAGGGTGGGCCAGGGCACGAGCCTCACCACAGACACTTAGGTTGTCAGGTGTCGGCATAACAGGTTCCCGGCAGGGGGGAGAAATGGGGCACAGGATGAAAGACATTTCCAGTTCCGTGACTCCACAATTCACACATTCCTCCTCCCGAGAGATTCTCATGTTCCCAAGTGTACACACAGGAATGTTTATTGATGCACAGATTATATGCTAGCAAGACAGAAATGCCCATCAGTAGAGAAACGGTTCAGTAAGTTCGGGTGTCCACTGTTCGTGGTGAAAACAGAGGAGACAGACCCTTGAGAATGTGGAAAGTTGTAACGCTGTTCAGCGGCAGCGGTGAGCAGATCCGCGCCCATTCACAGGGCGCAGTCTCTTTCATGTAAAAAAAGGCAAACATTGTGTGCATTTTATATGTAAATGAGAAAAGGCACAGAGAACTGTCATATTATGTACAAAACTTTGGGCCAAGATGGTAGGGTGAGGGGACAAACCAGGGATTGCAGCTTTGACTCTATAAACTTCTCTATTATTTGAAATTTGACATCAGGAATTACATAAATTTTAATTAGGAACCATAAATCGGCAGTTACAGAATAGTCATGAGTGTGTAAAGTACAGCACAGGGAACAGAGCCCATAATATTGTAACAACTGTGGAGGGTGCCAGGTGGAAACTAGACTTATCGGGGGATCACTTCATACGTTATATACACGTCTAGCCACCACGCTGTACACCTGGAACTCATATAATATTGGATGTCAACTGTAATTGAAAAATAAAATAATTATGTAAATTTTAATAGAGGCAGGAATGTTCCAGAAAACAATAAAGGTTCAGGTTCCACGTTTCCAGACCACAGACACTCAAGTGAGAACAGAAAGTAGGTTGCTGACCCCTCCCCTCCCCCCCACACTTCCCGGGTTTATCTTACGAGTCACCTAGATTCCACGGAGTCCCCGTCCCACACCTGCCCTCAGGCTGCATTTCGCATCAGCCACGAGGGGCAGTGGCTCGTCCTGGGCCTGCGGGGGACCAGGTCTGCCAGGGCCTCGTCTACCACTGATGTCCCACGTGGTGGAAGGGCTCCTCTCTGTCCCCGAGGACGGTCCTGGGAGCCGTGCCTCTCACTTCCCAGGCTCACTATTCACCCACCACGTATCCCTGGCAACGAGTGAGCCGCAGCCAGCAGCCTGGGGTACTTAGCTGCATCCAAATGCTCTGCCTGAGCTCTCTGGGCAGGCTGCGGGGAAAGCCGGGATTAGAGGCCTCTGAGCTCAGCGTCCCCACGGGGCGGTGATTTGTCCTGCAGTAAACTGTCCCTTCACCGGCCAACAGTCAATCCCTCTGGGACAGACTGCCAAGTGCTCAGGTGTCTGGCCAGTGTTCAGCCAAACCGCCTTCAATGTGTTTGCCATTTCCCATCGCAGGCCAGGAAGCCCCTTCCCAACTAACCCCTCAGCCCCGCCCGTCCCAAATGACGTGTCCCGGTTCCTCCCGCCTTCTCCTGCCCAGGCCGAATCTCCGTGTATCTGGTTTACATTTCTCCTGCCTGCTCACGACATCTCACTCACCTTCCTACAGACACAGCCAGCAAAGCCACCGGGCCCAAAGTAGGTGGTCAATGAATCAACAGTCAGTGAATCAATAGTCAATGAATCAATGAAACGAAAGATCTGAGACTGTCCCTGGAAATGGGTGTGCAGAGGAGACTCCTTGGAAATCCCCACTGAGCAGGGATACCATCACCCCTCCTCAGGCCCCCAGAAGTTTGTGGAACCTCCTCTGTGAGGGGCTCTGCTCTGGGGCACAGGGACCCAGCATGATCACAGCCCTGCTAACTGAGGGGGTTCACCAAGCAGAGCTAGAGGCCAGAATCAAGGCTTGATGGGGGGAGGGGTCAGGCTGGGCCTGTCCCTGCAGGAGCCACATGGTCTTGAGCAAGCAAGCGGCTTTGGTGCTGAAAAGGCTCTGAGGACGGAGGTGACACAACCACACAGGCTTGTAGGTGTGCTGGGTGGCAGGGAGGACACACTGCTGGGGGAGGACACCTGGGGAGGAAGGTGCCCGCAGTCTCCAGCAGGAAAAATAAGATACGGAGGGCCAGGCAAGGCCCCAGGCACCCGCAGACACCGAAGGGCCCCTGCCTACAGGGGACCTTCTTTATCCACTTTCTGCGACTGGGGACCTGTTCTCCCAGGCTGGAAGTTGGGGGAGCAATTCAGTGCTGTCCCCAGACGAGGTCACCTGTCCAGCCCCTCTCACTGCTGCGCACCTGGAGACAGGCCGGGCAGGACAAGGGGCGGGCACCTCACTCTCCCGACTTCTCCTGAGACTCTGGGGAGGGGAGGCCTGCTCGGGTCTCCTGCGAAAGCCCCACCCGCTACCCGCCGGGCCTGCCATCTAGACGAGGACCCCCAGGACCTAGAGAATCACTGGGCAACTGCACAGGACCGAGGTTTGGTTTTCAAGTGTTCGCTTTTTGGAGTGTTTTTGTTACCAATCCTGCAATAAATCTATGGGGTGGTTCTCAGCCTAGTGGACTCCTGTGGCCAGAGCAGCCTGGGGTGCAGTCTGTCCCCCAGAAAACAATGCTGACTGGACCACACACACACACACACACACACACACACATGAGTGACCCTGAATGATCCTGGCCTGCACAAGTAAAGAACTGCTCTGAACCATTTGAGAATTCAAAAAATAATAGAAAATTTAAAAAGAAAAAGCCATACCCTAATTCAGATGCAGGCTACCTACTCCCGGGGTCCTCGGACA